ATATATTATAATTTATTTATTTAAAAAAAATTTAACAAATAAAATATTAATTAAACTAAATATTTACATATTTTTAACAAAATAATATATACTTATTCTTAACAAAATAATGTGTAATCAAATGTACCCACGCCCACCTTAGAATGATTCAGGAAAAAAGTCTATAATTTATTGATTATGCTATGAAGGTTGTATCCCAAACCAATAATTTTTATGACATGTTTTAAATTATGGAACCATAAAACGCATAGAATTAACTCTATTTTCCTGTCTTCTTTCTTTCTTTTTAGGCCGTTTAGGGTTTAATCTTTCTTAATTCACCATTTTTCCCTTCTAGTTCACAAAGAGGATATGACGCCAGCATCATACGATTCTTTTTATTGTCTGATTCTTATTTCTTATATGGGTGTGCCATCAAAATTGAGATCTTTTTATCATGTCTACTACCGGCATGAATTAATGAAAGAAAGATTTTACAATTCTTCACTTTGAAATTCATTTGGAGGAGGGTGAAGCAAGGCTGAAACTTAGAGATACATTATCACAAATTGTAAATTTAAATGCTTTGGTAATCTACAAATTATATAGGTGAAGTGGGAATCTTCAATTTGCTTTTTATTTTTTAATCAACCCCGACTTTGTGTTGACAGTGCCTTCGGAACCAAAACCGCCGCCATTGTCATCTACCATAATATATCTTTCATCCTTTGATTTTCCTAAACACCACCGTCCACCGTTGTCCATCTAATTCATCGCTTTTCAAAACCCATCGTTTTTACCTTTCCCAAATTCCACAGCCGATATTAATTGATACTAATCATTATAAGAAGAAGAGGTTTCAAGAGAAATCTCTCTTGTACCCTATGAGAGGGGTAGAAAGAGACTCTACAATTTTCTCAATTAAAGTGAAGGGTAAAATGAAAGTAAAAACTTGGCCAAAAAGAGAAAAAAAAAAAAAAAAGAAATAGAAAAAGCTGACTGGCGAAGGAAGACACACGGCCAAAGAAAAGAAGAAAAGACAGTAAGTAGGAAACGACGTTAGTCTTTAAGTGATGCATAATCCCACAATCTAAAACGTATCATAAAATTGTTGGTTTGAGATACAAACTAGGTGATATACCCATGATACTATAGACTTTTTTGGGTTCGGGACTAAGCCACAGTGAGAAATAGTCAACACACAAATTAGAATAAGAAAAATCTAAAACAGAGTTTGTTGATGGAAAGATTCAAGTCAATAGGATTACAGCTATTAATATCCAATTGATTGGAGCTTTACTCAGCTTTCAAATTTTCAACGCTTTTGATTGACCATGTTGGATTGGAATTTTCAATTTTTTCATTGTTTAATGTGAAATAATAGTCAGAAAACAGCAACCGTTGAATGTAATCCGCGTTCTTACCTGAAGTCATGGCAGGAAATGTTTTTACGAGAATTGGACCTACAGAGGCATTAATTTATATTTAATCGGACGGTGCTGAGATAGTCCCATGATTCAACGTACGGCTATTCACGCGAGTAACCTTTCTTTCACACGTGATATACTTTTTTTATTCTCTCTAATTGAAAATTTAGTCCTCTCGCCTTTCAAAGAAAAAATATTTTTTTAAAAATGGTCCTCTCTCTCTTTTTCCTTTTACATTTTTTTCCTTTTCTTTTTCTTTTAGATGCTTAGTCCTCACTTTTGTCGGTGGCCGCTCTCCCGTCTGGATTTATATCATTGCGAACCACGAAAAAAAAAATGTCAATTACTTAAACATTTTAATGTTAAATATTTTTATTAAAGGAGTATGATAGATTTGGAGATGAAGAAAATTATTTTTTATTAGATAATTTAATATTAAAATATATATAATGTTATGTACTATTATAAATTTATAATTATGACATAAATTTTAAATAATTAAATCATTTATTTGAATATATTTATAAATTATAATATTTTTAAATTAAAATAAATTATAATATATATTTATTTAATAATACAAAATATTATAAATTTATAATTTTAATTAATATTATATCTAAGCATCACAATTTTGAATATTCAATGAGATAACTCAATAATTGAGTGCTTGAAATTTTAAGTTAAAAATCTCAAGTTTGAACATTGAATTGAGTGAGGGAGTATTTAGGAAAAGAAGAGGGCTTATTTAGACGTATAGAAAAAAATCACAATTTTGAATAATTGATCCAAAATTAAGAACCACTTATAAACCAAGTAACTACATGGTAAGGAGATCAGTCATTATATACAAGAAAATTTACTGTCTTCTGATGTTAATTCACACTTTATAAAATGAAATACATTGGCAATAAACAATAACTACTCCCCTAATTAAGTAAGGTCTCAATTATTTTCTTAATTACCACTTATTTAGTAAGAGCAAAAAATAGTTATTGTTGTTGTCCAGAAAATAAAAAAGAAATGGTTATTCTTTAGGAAAAAGAAAAAAATTAAAATATAATGATATTAAAAATTAACATCTCTAATAATAATTATATAATAAATTTGATAAAAAAATAATTTAGGAACAATATTTTTGTATCACTTTTTTTGTACAATTTTATTTGTTTATTTATTTTGTATAATTTTACGTTTTACTTAAATGATTAATTTTTTTTATTTATTTGAAACTTATGATATTGACTATATCTATTAATTTAATAATATATGAAAATTATATAAAAAATTATCCTCTTTGATAAAATTAAAATCTATATATATTTATTCTATATATTTAATCATTATAATTAAATATGTTAATATTTTAAATATAAGATTATCTTAATTTTTCCTTCTCCCTATTCTTTATATATATGTAACATTATTTTTATAGTTTGACTACAAATAATCACTCCATCTAACAAAACTTGACTTTGGTGACTTATTCATACGTTAGATAGTTTTGATTTTGATTTGGCTACTCTTTTCATAGTTTCTGCCCTCTAATCTCTTCGCTCATCTTAAAGTTTCAAGTTAAAAATTTTTAATTTGAATTCTTAAATTTATTTGAAACACTCTTTTAGAATTTTGAGTTAGTTTGTTATAAAGTATGTATTTTTTAAAAAAATTTGTTTAACTTATATCATTAGAGTATAAGTTAAAAAAATATTAATTATATATTTTTATAATTAATTTATATAAAAAATAAAAATTAATTTTAAATTTATTAATTATTTAATTAAAATCATTTAAAAAATATTGATGTTAAAAATAATATCTTATTTTTATTTTTTTTAATAAAAATTCATTATAAAATAATACATTTAATATATTTTAACTTGTACTGAAAGTCAAGTAAATCCCTTTTTTTCTTATTTTGATTACATAATTAAAAGCAATTATATTATATCTCTTATTCCACCACACTCATATGTTTTGTTATTTAAATTTAAAATTTTTTATTTAAAAAAAATAACTATTAAATTTTCGAAACCGTTGAGAAGTAAATCCTTTTTTAAAATGGTTATACAAGTAAAAGTTCAACATTTTAG